ATAAGCTCCCACGAATAGCTAAAGCAATTCTTAGGAAAAAGAAGATGGGAGGCATCACCTTCCCCAACCTCAACCTCTACTACAAATGGTTATAATTAAAACAACATGTACTGGAACAAAGGCAGAGATGCAGACCAGTGGAACAGAGTTTAATATTCTGACACACACACTCAAATATATGATCATCTAATCTTTGATAAGGAGCAAGAAATATGAAGTGGAACAAGGAAAGCTCTTTAACAAATGGTGCTGCAAAACTGGACATCTACTTGCAAAAAGGGGGTGCAGACCTCTACCTAATACCATGCACAAAAGTCAGATCAAAATGAATTAAAGACCTCAACATGAGACCAGAATCCATTAGGTACATTGAAGATAAGATTGGCAAACCCTCCACTGCATTGAAACTAAAGATATCTTTAAAGATCACACAGCATTCGCCAAACAAGAGGAAACAGAGATAAACAAATGGGACTACCTTAAACTGAGAAGTTTCTATACCTCAAAAGATACAGTGAACAGAATACAAAGACAGTCTACAGAATGGGAAAGGATATTCCCCAATACCCTTCTGATAAGGGGTTTTAATCAAGGATTTACAAGGCACTGGTTGAACTCCACAAGAAGAAAACATTCAAGCACATCAGAAAATGAGGCAATGTAATGCACAGAAACTTTCGCAAAGGAGAAATCCAAATAGCTTAATGGCACCTGAAAAAATGCTCATCATCACTAATCATCAAGCAGATGCAGATCAAAATAACTGTGAAATATCATCTCACAGCACAGAGATTGGTCCACATCCAAATGCACAAAAGCAACTGGTATTGGTGTGGATGTTGGGAGAAAGGGACCCTCCATCAGTGCTGGTGGGAAAGCCGACTGGTTCAGCCCTTTTGGAAAACAGTATGAACGTTTCTCAAATAATTAGAAATTGAGCTCCCATTTGACCCAGCAATACCACTTCTGGGAATATACCCCATAGACGCAAAAAAGTATAGTCGAAATGGCATCTGCACTTACACGTTCATTGCAGCAGTGTTTACAATAGCCAAAATCTGGAAAAAATCCGAGTGCCTGACAACAGATGACTGGTTAAAGAAACTTTGGTACATTTACACAATGGAAAACTATGCAGCTGTTAGAAAAGATGTCACTGTCACTGTCACTGTCCTCCCATTGTTCATGGATTTGCTCGAGTGGGCCCAGTAATATTGTGAGACTTGTTACTGTGTTTGGCATTATCCAATATGTCACTGGTAGCTTGGCAGGCTTTGCTGTGCAGGTGAAATACTCTCAGTAGCTTGTGGGGCTCTCCGAGAGGGGTGGAGTAATCAAACTCACGTCGACCTTGTTGACTCGGTGCAAGGCAAATGCCCTACCCACTGTGATATTGCCCCTGCCCTAGAAAAGATGAAGTCTTGAAATTTTCTTATAGGTGGATCAACGTGGAGAGTATCATGTTAAGTGAAATAGTCAGAAAAAGAGGGACAGACATAGAAAGATTGCACTCATTTGTGGAATATAAAGTAACAGAATAGGAAACTGATACCCAAGAATAGTAGTGATAAGTACCAGAAGGGTTACTCCAAAGCTTAGAAGCCAGCCTCACACGCTGGGGAAAAAGTCAGCTTAGATAGAGAAGGGACCAACAAGTAATGGGTGCTAAGAGGACCCACTCGGGATGGGAGATGCGGGCTGAAACTAGACTGTAGACCAAAAATGATGGCCACTTAATACCTCTATTGCAAACCACAACACCTACAAAAGAGAGAGAGAGCAAAAGGGAATGCCCTGCCACTAGGCGGGGTAGGGTGGAGGGGACGGGGTGGGGAGGGAATCTGGGACCATTGATGGTGGAAATTGGGCACTGGTGGAGGGATGGATATTCAATCATTGTCTGACTGAAATACAAGCACAAAAGTTTGTATGCCTGTAACTTCACCTCACGGTGATTCACTAATAAAAAAAAGACATCCAAAAATAGAGATTTTATAGCCATGATTGTCATAGCACTTAATACCTGATAGCTATGTTGAGAATACAAGCAGATTCTGTGACTACAAAGCGAAATTATTAACAAACAAGCCTGAGATTGACCATCTAAGCAGCATCTAATTCTGATATTTTTACCTAAAATTGAGATTTTTCACTGACAACACTGAAACACTGTGATACTTCTTTAAAAAATTATAGAGTTGTTTCTGCTGGAGAGATAGTATAGCAGATATATAACTGACATTAAAGGGTGATTGTCTTTCACCTGGCCAGCTCAGGTTAGATCCCAGCATACTTCATGGTTCCATGAGCCTTGCAAAGAATGATCTTAAGCACTTCCAGATGTGATCCAACCCCCCCCCCCCCTCAAAAAAATATGGAGTTGATGGGCTGGAGTGATAGTTTGCCTTGCAAGTGGCCAACATGGCCAACCCAAGTTCGATTCCTCCGCCCTCTCGGAGAGCCCAGCAAGCTACTGAGAGTAACTCGCCCGCACGGCAAAGCCTGGCAAGCTCCCCGAGACGTATTCAATATGCCAAACACAGTAACAATTGTCACAATGGAGACGTTACTGGGCCCGCTTGAGCAAATCGATGAACAACAGGAGGACAGTGATAAACAGTGATAAGAGAAAGTAAAAAACAAAACAAAAATCAAGTTATTTTAAAAGATGGATCATAAAAACATTCTGAAGCAAATAAACATTTCATTATTTGAGAATTATAGGGAATAAACCTAAATTAATGATAAGTGTACTACATTATAATGAAGATTTTATTAAATCTCCCATATATATTTATATTAAAGAGCTACTAAAATAATTTAAGATAAATTTGATACCAGATATTCTTATGATTTTCAAGAAACAATGCTGTTGCTTATCGAGTGTTAAGTAATTGTTCTAATAGGCAATAAGTGATGCATGTAACTTATAAAAGGTTATCACTTCTAAATCATAACAAATGAATCTGATATTCAACACATAATAATCTCAATATTTGTTTTGATTTCCCATTCAGCCAGGGAGATGGTTCATGATCTATGTTTTCCTTAACCACAATGTCTTTTTCTCAAATAACAGAATTATCAAAAGAATAGCAGATAGGGCGGAGGGGTAATTTATTTAGAAAATTGTTATGTGAGGAAGAAAACAAGTTGCCATTTCCAATTTGGAACACAATTAGGAAGACAATAGCCTCCTGACTGATGCTCTTTGTTCTCTTCAGATATTTATGTAGGAGACTAATTAGAATGTATTTTCCTATTTCTTTTCACATTGTCTAGAAAGCGTTTCTCATGCTCCTTGACTTTCTAGTTAGAGTCAGAAGAAAATATCCAATAGCCATTGCCCTGTTTCATGGCCCCACTTCACGGCCTTCTGGACTCTTTTAGCTGCTGAAACATTTTTAAAAGATTCTGCCAAAGAGTTGAGTTAATAGGACTGTTAGAAGGAAAAGGAATTGACATGATAGTGATTATAGCAATTCTGTTATTTGAGAGCATTAGGAGAATTTGCTCTGTTGTATGTATGTATAAAAATTGTCATATAATCCCAGTTAAATTGATATATCATTTATATATATATATATATATATATATATATATATATATTGGACTTGAGCGATAGCACAGTGGGTAGGGCATTTGCCTTGCATACAACCAACATGACCGATCCAAGTTCGATTGCTCCGCCCCTCTTGGGGAACCTGGCAAGCTACCGAGAGTATCTCGCCCACACAGCAAAGCCTGGCAAGCTACCCATGATGTATTTGATATGCCAAACACAGTAACAATTGTCACAATGGAGACATTACTGGGCTCACTAGAGCAAATCGATGAACAACGGGCGGACAGTGACAGTGATATATATAATATATATGTATCAAAGCATTTGATTAATGACAATGCCAAATGAATTATAAGATTGATAACCCTATACATTACCCAGGAGATTCTCTAGGAGTGAAATTTCATTTAGACAACAGAGAAAAATCTAATTTACTCCTCAATTGTCTAAGAACTACTCAGCTACTCATGGGGAATGACCACATTGGCTGTTTTTTTCATATTGCCCTCGCAATAATCAGTGGTATAATAGGAAAGGCATATTTATATTCACATATAAATTTGTTACTAAGAAATCACTGTTTGATATAAAAATCCTCATATGCATACTCATAAAGATGAGTATGACCCCTCTAAAAGATGAGGGGCCAGAGTGATTAAAACAGTGGATAGGGCACTTATCTTGCCTATCGAACCTGACGAATTCCCACCATCCCATGTTGTCCCTTGAGCACCACCAGAATTAATTTCTGAATGAAGAACCAGGAGAAATCCTAAGCACTGCAGATGTGGCCCAGAAATCAACCCCCGTGTCCCAAAGGAAAATCTAAAAACCTAGTATGCACATGTAACAACTCTTGTGCCTGACACAGGTTGAATCTCAAAACAAATTAATGCATTATTATTATACTCATCTTTATAAGATGAATAAATTAAGCAATTTAATCAATGAGAGTGATCATTTTTCTAGTTTTTACATTTATTTCAGTACAATATAATTCCCCTAATTTGTGTTTTAATTTTATATACCACTATTTCCCAAAAATGCAGAATATTTTTGAGTCTCTTCTTTTGTATACATTTTCAAGTCAGACTTTGAAAAATTAATAAGATATTTCTTGTCTACAAGCTTCTGGACCAGAACTAGGCTTGATTGATCAATAGAATGATTCTGACAATTCTGAAACTTGGAACATAAAATTACTGGTAAACTGTGTTCATAAAAATTATATATGTGAATTACAGGCACGGTGATTTACTGTTCTTCTATTCCCAATAATCTGGAAATGTGATAAAATTTCATTATCAGTTCCATATTATATTGTAAACATTTGTACAATTAGTAACCTATTGAACTCACTCATTATTATTTCATATGCATTTTCTGCTTTCTTGCTTTTTAACTTCTTGACAAGTTTTAGACTTAAAAATTTTATTTTTGCACTCACTTTGGCCATATGTATAGTAAAATTAGAATAATAAAGAAAAGATTAGGATGGACCTTGCACGAGGTGGCACAACTCTTTAAGAATTCTTTATTTTTATACTAACAACAACACAATAGTAGTTGATGATTTAACAACACACTGTCATGGCTAGATAGATGAACTACGCAAAACCTCAAGAAGAAAATGATGACCTTGAAAGAAAAAAATGGAAGAGATGGGCCTAATATACCATAGGACCGTTTAACATATCTACACAAAATCAAGGAGATATACATTATATCTTCTCAGATCACACTGCTTTGAAAATAGAAAATAATCACAAAAAGAAATGGGAAAAACTTTCAAACACTAGGAAATATAAAAAATTTAATGTCGTTGAACCAGTGGGCCAAAGATAAAATCAGAAAAGAGATCGAATGATTTCTGGAAACAAATGAAAATAGAGACATGAGTTATAAGAACATATCGGAAACCAGACAAGTTGTATTTGAGAGGGAAATTCATAGTAATGCAAACATTCATTAAGAAGCAAGAGAGGTCCCAAAGTACTTAACAATAGATTAAGTAGCTAGAAAAAGTTCAACATGGAACGCAAAGCAAGCAGGAGGAAAGAAGTATAATAAAACATAAATAAAACTTCAATTAAATGGAAACTTAAAAACCATTTAAGAAGAAAACAACTGATGGTTCTTTAAAAGCATAAGCAAGATAGGCAAACCATTAGTTCGACTCAAAGAAAGAGGGAAGACTGATAATTGGAAATGAAAAGGAGATGTCACAACACATATCACAGAAATTCGAAGTAATATCAAGGATTGCTATGACACGTCCTCGTTGCGGTTGAGCTTGGGCGTCGGCACGGGCTTTGGGAGCAGGTGTCCATACTCCTTCACGCCCGACCTCGCACACAGCACGGAGCTCATGGCCAGGACCAAGGCGGCCAGCAGGAGCAGCGAGCGCAGCGAAGAGGCCATGACGCTGGGCAGCGAGTGTCCGCTGATTCTGTTGAGACGGAAGCGGTCATTGAAGCCCTAGCCAATCAGGGCATTCAAGCCCAATACATCAAGATCCTCCATGAGCTGTATTGCAGATTCACTACCATGATCTCACCATTCTACAAAGAAGTGATCGTTGATGTCAAGAGAGGGGTTCAGCAGGGTGAAGAGTTCACCGAAACTCTTCAGTGCCACCCTCGAGAACATCATGCGACGACTGGAATGGGAAGGAATGGGAGTGAAGATAGATGGTCGGCAACTACACCACCTCCGCTTTGCTGATGACATTGTTCTAATAACACCAAACATTAGCCAAGCGGCACAAATGCTGGCCGACTTTGACTGTGAGTGTGGAAAGGTAGGACTAAAGCTGAATCTTACGAAGACAATGTTTATGAGAAACAGCTTTGTTCCTGATGCCCCATTCGCTCTCAAAGGAACGACCATCTCCGAATGCAACAGCTATGTGTACCTAGGTCGAGAAGTCAACCTGACAAATGACCTGGCACCTGAGCTGTGCAGGAGGAAGAGAGCAGCTTGGAACGCCTTCAAGAACGTCGAAGAAATAGCTAAGAGGACGAAGAACCTCCGCCACCAGGCACATCTCTTTGATTCCAGTTCTTCCTGCATTAACATATGCCTCAGAGACCTGGGCCCTACGTAAACAGGATGAGAATGCTATTTGGGTCTCCCAAAGAGGAATAGAAAGAGATATGCTTGGAAAATCACTTTTCACTCAAATAAGAGAGAGAATCCGGAGTTCCGACATTCGTCGATGATCAAGAATCAGGGACGCTGTCTCATTTGCCAAGGCATCAAAAATCAGATGGGCTGGTCACGTAATGAGATTTAAAGACGACCGCTGGACTAGAGCTGTTACCGACCAGATTCCACGGGATGTCAAAAGGCCGCGTGACCTACCAGATGGTCAGACTTCTACATCAAGATCATGAACGATCGGTTTGAGGCTCTTCATGTTCCCAGAGCGAACAGATGCCATTGGGCTACACTAGCACGCGACAGGGACAAATGGAGACGTTACTGGCGCCCGCTCAAGCAAATCGACGACTAACAGGAAGTTAAGTGATTAAGTGATTAAGTGAAGCTATGACACTGAAATCCCTGTGACACAAAATTAGAAAATCTAAGATAAATGAATTAATTTTTGGATTCCTATAACATCCTTAGACTAACCCAAGAAGAAACAGAGCATCTGAAAAAATTATTATCAGAGAAATTGGAACAGTATTCAAAACCTCCCCTCAAATAAAATCCCAGGCCCAGAACCCTTCATGACATTGAGTTTAGTGGCATCTTAAATTATTCAATGCATTTAATCATGTAAATGGAAGCAAGGATAAAAAAACAGGGTACATTAAACCTAAAAATCTCTACACTGCAGAAGAAACAATGATCATCATAAAAAGCACCCCACACACTGGAAGAAAATATTTACCCACCGCTCATATGGCAAAGTTATAATAAAGATAAATAAAGCTAGAATACAACATAACACCACCAACCAACAATAAAATAAACCTCATCAATATATGGGGGACAATTCATTGGGGGCCCAATGAGATATAGACTCACACTGTCAGACAGAAAATAACAAAAATAATCAGTGTTTAGTTGGGATGGAAGAAGGGGAAGGAGGAACCTTTATATACTGCTGGTAGGAATGTAGGTTACTTCAACCTGGGTTTGGAAAAACAATATGGGCACTCATCAAAAAAAAAAAAACCCTAAGCACTGACTGAATGCATTAAATCAGAGGAAGAGGCACAGACAAGAATGATCATAGTCATTTGTGGGACATATATAGAAAACAACATAGTATGATAGTAATACCCAGAGATAATAGAGAAAGTGCTAGGGACACTGATCAGCTGAAGGAAGTTTGCCACAAAGGTTGAGAGGAACATAGATGGAACCATTGTAACAATGATAGATAGACAGGACAAGAACTGAGTTCTGAAAGGGGGTAAAGCGTTATGAATAATACCCTTTTAGCAACAGACCAGTGTGTTTAAAACAGAAAAATGAATAGAAAGGGTCAGACAGAGAGAGAGTGAGAGATAGAGAGATAGAGAGAGAGAGAGAGAGAAATTGAGGTGTGTGGGGGAGAGAGAGGAAAAGAGAAAAAGAGAGAGAGGTGTATGAATGCACAATAGTGAAGGAATGATTGTTGGAGAATTGTGTGACTAAACTTAAATTAGGAAAAGCTTTGCAATTGTGTATGTCATAGGGATTTAATTTTTAAAACAAAGAATCACTGTCTGTCACTGTCCTCCCATTGTTTATCAATTTGCTCAAGCGGGCCCAGTAACGTCTTCATTGTGACAATTGTTACTGTGTTTGGCATATCAATATGTCATGGGGAGCTTGCCAGGCTTTTTTTTATGACTCAGCAATTCCATTTTGGGACGTTTGCCTCAAGGGCTCAAAAACTATTCTGAAAAAATATTTACAATCTGTGTTCATACTAGTTCTATTCACAAGAGTCAAAATCTGGAAACAATTCAAGTATCTAAGAACGGATGACTAAGGAAACTATTGTAGATAAACTTGATGGGATACTACTCTGCTAATAAGAGAAAACAAAAGCATTCAATTGGTTGATACATGGATGAATCTGGAGAGAATCTTGTTGAGTGAAATCATAGGATTGGAATAGATGAAGAATAATCTCTCTTCATATGCAGTATATAATGAAGGAAACAATAAATACCCAAAGGCAACAGAATCTAATAATGGTGTGAAAAACTGAGCTTACTATGACATGTATATGTGTAAAGGGTACTGGATGGCGTGTATATGTGTAAAGGGTGCTGGGGGGTTGAACATAAGATAGTGGTGGAGGAGAGTATTCACTGTAACTCACAATACTGTTAATACCAGAGTTCCAGGTGCTGGAGTTATAGTACAGCAGCTAGGGTGTTTGCTTTGCACGTAGCTGACCCAGGTTCGATTCTAAGCATCCCGTATGGTCCCCCGAGCATTGCCAGAAGTAATTCCTGAGTGCAGTGCCAGGAGTACCTCCTGAGCATCGCCAGGTGTGACCCAAAAAGCAAAAAAAAAAAAAATTAAAAAATTATTAAAAACAATTGGGCTGGAGTGATAGCACAGCGGTAGGGCATTTGCCTTGCACGCAGCCAACATGGCCGACCCAAGTTCGATTCCTCCGCCCCTCTCGGAGAGCCCGGCAAGCTACCAAGAGTATCTCGCCCGCACAGCAGAGCCTGGCAAGCTACCCGTGATGTATTTGATGTGCCAAATACAGTAACAACAAAGTCTCCAATGGAGACGTTACTGGGCCCGCTCGAGCAAATCGATGAACAATGGGAGGACAGTGACAGTGAATTAAAAATAATAGAGTACCATAGAAAGACATTAGACTCATACTGTCTATCAGAGTGACTATATCCCCATATTTTAGGTGCTGGTGCAATATTTTTCCCCATTAATTTTATGCTCCCACAGTTTAACAAGAAATTCTACCACCGAGTCACCTCCTTGGCCCTGGGCTGGAGTGATAGCACAGCGGGTAGGGTGCTTGCCTTGCACGCAGCTGACCCAGGTTCGATTCCTCCACGTCCCTCAGAGAGCCTGGAAAGCTACTGAGAGTATCTTGCCTGCATGGCAAAGCATGGCAAGCTACCTGTGACATATTCGATATGCCTAAAACAGTAACAACAGGTCTCCCAATTTGTTGTGAGACGCTACTGGTGCCCACTGCAGCAAACTGATGAACAAGGACAGTGCTACAGTACTACAGTTTAGCTAGAAGGTGTTAAACACCATCCTTCTCATATAATACAGACTCACAATACAATTAGTTTTATAACAGTGCCAACAGCAGAAGGGTTATGAAGTATGTTTGTGTGCATGTGGGTGTGTCTATGTGCATGTGTGTGTGAGGAGAGGGACTGGGATAGGGAGTTATGACACATTTTGCCTTGCCTTTTAGAGCTACCCACATTTCACTGTTTAAAACGAGTCAGATAGCCATACCCATCTCTAAACATTGGAGTTCCACTGGTTTAACAGTACCATAAATATTTGTGACTATTTATAACATTTCGTTTAACTGGACTAGA